GAGAGAGAGAGAGAGAGAGAGAGGGAGAGAGAGAGGAGAGAGGAGAGAGAGACAGAGAGACAGAAGAGAGAAAGAGAGAAGATAGATTTGTGATATATAGATATATATACTATATATATATATATATATATATATATATATATATATATATATAGCATACATACCATACAATATGGATAACCAACACATAAGTGGAGGAAATCTCAGAAGCTTTTCTGACCTATCCCCTTATGGCGACTTGCACTTGTCTGCCCCCCCCCCCCAATTATTTTGTGACATCGATACCCATGCGAGCGGCTGGCCTATATACTCCTCCGAACGGAAAAGAGTCTTGAGTCGGTGGGACGGAAACGTGTGAAACGACTCAGTTAGTGTTACGAAAATGATGTAATTCATGTCAGGATTAACCAATAAGAAGCGGGTACTCCGTCGCACCATGGCGGGGCTGTCATGCTGAACCAATCACAGGGAGTGGACCGCCTCGCTATCCCCGGCGCTATGTGATAACAACAGACAGCTGGTGAGGCGCTGGGCAAGATTTTAAACATGAGTATCAAATCACATTGCGGATTTTTTTCATGGTTCAGGTTCTGGCGGAACAAATGGCGTGTGGCAAGTAACCTGTTTGCCGGATGACTTGGCTAAACAGGGACAAATCTCGTAACCGTGCATAACGTGACTGTTTGCCTGATGACTCGGCTTCAATAGGGACACATCTCGTAACTGTACACAACACAACCCGGCGGCTGCTCAGCAAATGGGTCTCTGGCCACCTCGGGGTCTCTTGACCGGGAGGATCCATCCTTGGTCCTTTTGGCCACGTGATCGACGCAGGCACTTAATTGTCTAAGGGGTCTCGGCCAGTGCAAGAGGTCTTGTGACACAACATTTTCGTGCCTTCCAGCCTTGTATCTGCTTCTATAGTTGACCCCACACGGGGCCGGCTGTTGGAACTAGTGTTCGCTGACCAGCATAGGGGCCCTCATTGCCCCAGGAGCCCTCCGTTGGGCCGAAGAGGCCATGTGACCGGTAATGCTGCCAGCGGTAATGCTATTTTTGTAAAGAAGAGAGGCTGGAGTGGTGCTCCGACGTGTGAATGAGGTTTGCCGCCGCTGTTGCCTTTCAAAGCCTAAAAAGATATCGTGATACTCAACACAACAATTACAAGCACGCAAGTGTATATAAAGAGCCTTGTTCTTCATGCTTTAGAAGATGGATTTGAAATCCGATATAAAGATACCTCTTTGCTGCGCATCTTTCGGTTGTAGATGATACTTTGAGCGGACGGTGTGGTTCGCTTTTATTTTCTGTTCACACCGGCGTCTTTACGCACGTTAAAAGTGCGTAATAGAAATGTGACCCCAGAACAAAAAGTGTGACCCATGATATTTTGCCGAGGACGCTCACATTAGGTCCCAATGATTGCCTGTCACAATGAGAGTGCGGTACAAGGCCCAAATGTTTGCTTAAATCAGCTCAAGTATTAATGCATGCGACAGCTTTGTAAGTCGGCAGCCGCGCACTTGATGAGTCACTATTTATCATCTGCAAGCATGACACAAATAAGCTGCGTGTTAAATATTCAAATATGAAACAAAAAACCTTTGAATTATTTTCTCTCAACTGAATGTTCAGCGTGACTTGGGCCGCAGCTAGGAGCGAAAAGCATATCACGTGTGCAGCCGCGCCAGCTGTTGGAAAGTTTGACGCGTTCAGCAAAAGTATGACATAAAAGGTGTTCCGTTCTTAGTCTGAGACCATTTGTACCGGTCTACGTGCTGCAAAAACGTCCCGTACAGACCATTACCTTTCGTGTTTGGGTATTGTCAGCTATTTTAAAGGCGTGGTAAACGTCTTTGTCGCATTGACACAATTGTATCGGTTTTTGGCATAAAGGCAAAGGGCACAAACGGAACATTGCTTGCATGTTCAATGTTTCAGAAAGAGTTACATAAATTGATTTGAGCCTTGCAGCTTGAAGGGCAGGAGCTTCATCCTGGCTCGCCGTATGACTATGTGGGAATTGCAGCTCACCCAGCGGGACGCTGAGATGGTGCTGGCGCTAGCCCGGTAACATGAA